CGATTCATTCTCATGATTTTACTCTGGGGTATGGATAGTCTTAATTACATACCGGTCGTCATTACAGATTTTGTAATCAGCCCAGTCAGACTTCAGTTTAATGGGGGTGGTAAAGGGTAATTTTCGTGCATCGTGTTTGCCGTTTTTTTTTTTAATTGACGATCAACGTATTTTAACTTTTTTTTATTTTTACGTTCGGTTATGCAAGACGGGTGCCTCGTTTAAAGTGTTCCCCAACTTAATTATACGTGCCTCGAGATTAAAAGTGCTTATTTCCATGCTTCGAGATTTAAAGTGCTTGCTTTCCGTGCTTGGTAATATTAAAAAACTGTCGTTTTGTAAGTTAATAAAAAGAAGTCAGAAATAATTTGATGATTTTCCTTATAGATTTCGGGACTTCAAACGTATATATTATATACTTGCCACTTAAGGTTTCCAACCTATGATATGCGTTCGTTATAGTACTTTTTTATCACGTTCATTGACGAAATTATTTCACGTTCACCGTGAAATTGTTATTCCTTCTTTGTATTCAACGTTCTTTCCGTGCAAATACCACCCTTTTAACCTAGACTCTCTTAACAAACTAGTAACGAATATTATTTTTAATTTAATTTAATCAAGCTCAACCCACTACACATTAGAAAATCCAAATTCCTAAGCCAACAGTACTTGTTTGTTTTTCTCTAATTAATATTTTTTATTTTTTTTTTTAACGGGCCCCAGAGTCCCAGACCCCTGCCGTTTGACTTTCTCCTCCGGCATTGAGTACACACCATATTGGCCTAGCTACGCCCCTGTGAGTGTTACAACCCGAAAGAAAGTTAATGTAAATATAAAATCGTTTTGTGTCAGACTGTTTCAAGACTGACTGACGCAGCTGAGAATTCTATTTGGTTTATTTTCTTTTCTTGAATTTAAAAATATTTTGACTTGTTCCGACTGGTGTAGTAATTTTCAAAAATGGGGATATCTTACCAAGACTTAGTTTAGTATTAATATCCCAAACTTGCATCCCCTTCTTCTTATTTTCTGCCGGACGATGTCTTTTCCAGTGAATATAGGATTTCTGTAGGGACAGTTTTGGCATACTACATTTAGAATACTTCCCAGACCACACTGTTTTTCCTCATAACAATTATGTAGAAATAGTGGTGAGCTACAATTTTTACATTGTTTTAACTGGTCAGCTAGATATCCAAGTTCTACCACCCTACGTCCCTGACGCCAGTCAAGTTTTCGATTTTCATTTGGAAGATCGTCTTTATGACTATTTTCATATTCATTTTCAAAATCCTGTAGATTTTCTTCGTCTTCAGTGTTAGCAAACAAGTTCATTCTCCTAGAAGTTACATACTTGCCATCAAATTTACCGTTGTCCAGTCGAAAAGTTGCCGGTTGCAACATTGCAAAATCTGGCCAAAGGGACGTAACTCTTACAAAACGTCGCAACATTTCGCGGAATCCGCTAGACGGTGTTCATTTACTGTTACTTGACCTTAACAACTTCAGAAAATTGTTGTTAGTGGAAAATATTACATTTCATATAAGGCCTCGCTTCATTTAAAAACCTCTATTTTTTGGCACAGGCTCATATAAAATTAACTGTTTGCCAATTTTTATAAGTCTGATACATTCAGTATGCTACCTATTACTTTAAATGGATAATATCTTATACATAGAGACATTAAAAAGTGCACATTTTTGTTTTTTGTTTGTTTTTGAAGCCAAACTTTGATAGTTGAAATTGTTCTATTTCAACGTCACAATTCAGGAATCAAAGTTCAGATATTAAAAAGGCCACATTTTCTATAATTGATATCATATGGCTTTGAAACTGAGCTTAAATCATGCCAAGTTTTATTGGAATTGGTCAAGTTCTTGACCCCTAATAGGCCCCAGACCATAATTAATGATCCAGCTTTACGTTGTCCACATATATAGTTCCCTTTAATTAAAGTGTATTTTTTCTTTATTTTTTTCTTTCCTTTTCTCATACATTTCTTAGTTTTTATAAGGTGGAAATGAAAGAAGAGAGCTGAAATAAATTTTTGGATGTTTTATTTTAACTGATTTTGATATGGAAAGAGTGATTAGGCCAGGTGCAAAAAGGTAATATTTACAGTTTTCGGAACATCTCTTGACTTGTCCATAGGGGTATGGATGTGTATTGACTAAATTTGTAAGATGTAATCGTTCAATTTTTCTGAAACTTGGATATATTTTTGGACTTGTACTGTACATTACACACACAAAAGATTAAACAAAAAAAACAGGTAAATTTTTTTTAATGCAACAAAACGTTATAAAGAACTAATAGGGGGAATTAATTGTGGTCTGTGGCCTAAGAGTTGCATTTCAGCAAATTTTGAATTTGTACTTTGACAACTTCTCTGAATGATCAATTGGAATTAATTTGTCAAACTACATGAGAATAAATGTTTTCCACCTTTATTTGATAGAAATTTTGTAAACAAGTCAATTTTCAGCTAATATGCCCAAAATGTGCTGCTTTTTCACTTGTTTCAATATTTTTACAAAAGTAAAATTGAGAATGGAAATGGGGAATGTGTCAAAGAGACAACAACCCGACCACAGAACAGACAACAGCAGAAGGCCACCAACAGGTCTTCAATGCAGCGAGAAATTCCCGCACCCGGAGGCGTCCTTCAGCTGGCCCCTAAACAAATATATATACTAGTTCAGTGATAATGAAAGTAGCATGCTTACTTTCTCTCTGACAGATTTTTATGATTTTCTATTTGTCTTTGTGGTATTTAATTTACATGTTTTACTCAATTAGGAACTCTGAACAGAAAGAAAAGTAGATAAAAACATAAAAAGTGTGCAAAATGTGCTGTTTTAATGGTCAAAGTCTAAAAATCGGTACGAAGCAAGTGAACTGTGAGGTTCTATGCACATAAAAGTTGAATACCTTTAAACAGATTTCACTGAATCTGTATCAAAAGCACTTATTACTGGTTGTTTTACCTTGTCTGTTTCACTGACTACCTTTAATTTCTTCTGTTGGATAGCTAGTGGTTAAAATATTGGCCTTTTGAGGCTGAAATTTCATGCAGGTTTTAAACAGTAAAGTGAATAAACTTTGCATCAGACCATAGTGTCTACATATATAGTTGAAAGCAACAGTCTTGTTACATCCAGGCTTCATGTTTCATCATATCTAAGCAAGGATTTGAGCAAAAATAAGCATATTTCCATCTCCCATATCATTTATATGCTTTTTAATATGGAAATATGGGGAACGGCCTAAATTGACAACTTGTTTTTTTAAGCTTGACATTGCTTAAGACATGTCATCCTCATGTGTTATGCTATTTGAAACTTATATTTCCATGAAAAGTACATTTATGATATGTAGAAGATTTTTTTTAACTTAACAACTTCAGAAAATTGTTGTAAGTGGAAAATATTACATTTCATATAAGGCCTCGCTTCATTTGAAAACCTATATATTTTTTGGCACAGGCTCATATAAAATTAACTGTTTGCCAATTTTTATAAGTCTGATACATTCAGTATGCTATAGATAGATCTATTACTTTAAATAGATAATATCTTATACATAGAGATATTAAAAAGTGCACATTTTTGTTTTTTGCTTGTTTTTGAAGCCAAACTTTGATAGTTGAAATTGTTCTATTTCAACGTCACAATTCAGGAATCAAAGTTCAGATAAAAAAAAGGCCACATTTTCTATAATTGATATCATTTGGCTTTGAAACTGGGTAAACTGTCTCATAATACACTAAGCTTAAATCATGCCAAGTTTTATTGGAATTGGTCAAGTTCTTGACCCCTAATAGGCCCCAGACCACAATTAATGATCCAGCTTTTCGTTGTCCACGAATATAGTTCCCTTTAATTAAAGAGCATTTTTTCTTTATTTTTTTTCTTTCCTTTTCTCATAAATTTCTTAGTTTTTATAAGGTGGAAATGAAAGAAGAGAGCTGAAATAAATTTTTGGATGTTTTATTTTAACTGATTTTGATATGGAAAGAGTGATTAGGCCAGGTGCAAAAAGGTACCGGTAATATTTATAGTTTTTGGAACATCTCTTGACTTGTCCATAGGGGTATGGATGTGTATTGGCTAAATTTGTAAGATGTAAACGTTCAATTTTTCTGAAACTTGGATATATTTTTGGACTTGTACTGTACATTACACACACAAAAGATTAAACAAAATTAAAAGGTAAATTTTTTTTAATGCGACAAAACGTTATAAAGAACTAAAAGGGGGAATTAATTGTGGTCTGTGGCCTAAGATATGATTTATTTAAATTGGTAATTATGGTTGCAAACTCCATTGGAAATTTGAATTGAGATTATGACCATATCTTGAGGGAAAGAATTTTTTTTTGTTGGAAAAGTGGTGGGGGGGAGGGGGGTAAAAAAGAAATTGTGGGGGGCATTTTTTTTTTTCATTTCAGATTTCAAAATTAAAAAGAAAATTTCTTCAAATATTTGAGGGGAGGGTAAAAAAATTTTTTTTTTGGGGGGGGGGGGGGGGGGGGGTCAATACGCAACAGCATAGTGTATTTCACAAAAGCAAAAAAAAAAGGGGGGTAATGTTTTTTTTTGGGGTGGGGTGGGGGTGGCAATTCGCAACAGCATAGTTTATTGCACAAAAGCAAAAAATTGAATATAAATTCAAATCATATAACCAATTCTAAGTTCTAAGACCTGTATCAAGCGCGAATATTGTGTCCATTTTCGCCGCAACTGTTCAGGGTTGGACCTCTGCGGTCGTATCCAGCTGCATTCAGTGAAGCATTTTATTACATATGGCATTACTAATACTATATATAATTTGTCCATTTCAGTCTCTTTGTAGCCTCTTGTTTGTTCCAAATAGGATTTTCATGTCAAGAAATAACTCAATTTTGTCACTGAAAAAGTATTAAAAGGTTAAAGGAAAAAAATGGGTTGGTTTGATAATCCTAAAAAATATCTTTTTTAACTGTTATGATTTTACAGGTTCTTATCATCATTGAATCAAAGCCATCAGCATCTGATTTCACTTTTGTATGGAATATGGTTTACAATGATAAACAACTGTGACATAAACTTTATGACAGTAGAGGCATTATCACGCAGTGTTGCTGGTAGTATGTTTCATACCTGTGCGACTAATCCAGCCAGGGTGGAAAAAGCCAGTAGAATAATGCAATTGCTCATTGAAAATTTTGGTGTAGCTGGTATGTTTGGACAAAAGAACATAGAATATTTTGCAGAAATTACCAGAACAGAAATGCATATACGTGAAAAATTTAAGTGTCAGTTTGTTTATTCTCCTCCAGAGGACCCATTTGCAAGTAAGTAATACTTTATAAATATAATCTTATTAGCTGACTGGCTTAAATAGTTATGTGATTAAAGGATGTTCTATTTAAGAAACATTTATAGATGTGTACAGGTGTAGAATCACTTATTCACAGAATGGTCAGAAAGAATATACAATGTACCAGAATGTATTACATATTTATAACAAAATAGTTCCTTAGCATAGGGTAACTTTTATTATTCTACTTCATGTCAAAATGCCAGATTTTGATTGGTTAATACAAGGGAGACAATTTACTCTATCTCATGACAAATACTCTTATTACCCTTCACGGAGACGCTTGCTCAAGTGTGCGCTTTAATAAATAAGGATGATTGTTATGTACAAGACGACATAATTTATTATTTTGAATTTTAAATCTATTAGACAGTAATAACAGACAGACAGTATAATAAATTAAATAACACATATCTGAGAGGGTGATAGAGCATATTGTTACCCCTCGAAAAGACATTGTCAACCTTGGCTTCGCCTCAGTTGACAATGTTTCTCGGGGTAACAATCTATCACCCTCTCAGCTATGTGTTATTTATATCATATCTAATATTATTGTCTCGCCTTGACGGAGTCAAATAGTGAAATATAGGTATGCTGTTTCTAGAGGTGGCAGCAGCATCAACAATGTATTAGTTTGTGATTAGGTCTAGTTTATTGTGAACCACTAGTGGTTGGTCAATGATATTTGGTATGTAGTTGCATTAGCATTGGCACATCTCATTTCCATGGAGATTATTTGGCCCTGCCCCCTCAGTCATGGTCTATTGACTTTGAAACTTTTGCTTAGTTTACATGTATTAGTTTGTGATTAGGTCAGTTTATGGGGAGCACTAGTGGTAGGTCAATGATATTTGGTATGCAGTTGTATAAGCATTGGTATATCTCATTTCCATGGAGATTATTTGGCTCTGCCCCCTCAGTCATGGTCTATTGACTTGAAACTTTTGCTTAGTTTACATGTATTAGTTTGTGATTAGGTCAGTTCAAGGGGAACCATTAGTTGTAGGCCAATGTTAATTGGTATGCAGTTTTATAAGCATTAGCACACCTCATTTCCATGGATAATATTTGGCCCCACTGCCTCAGTCATGGTCAATTGACTTTGAAATTTTTTCTTAGTTTACATGTATTAGTTTGTGATTAGATCAGTTTAAGATAAACCACTAATGTTAAGTCAATGATATTTGGTGTGCAAATTTATTTTCATTTGCAAATCTCGTTTCCATGGAGATCATATAGCCCCACCCCGTCATCATGGTTCATTGACTTTGAAAAATCTACATAGTTTACAAGTTAATGTTTGTGTTCAGGTTTGTTTAAAGGGAACGACTTATGATAAGTCAATGGTATTTGGTATGCAGTTGTATTAGCAGTGACACATCTCATTTCCATGGAGATTATTTAGCCATGTACCTTCAGTCATGTTTCATTGACTTCAAATATTTGCATAACTTACATGTTAAAGTATTGCTATTTTAATTTCAACACTTGCATTATCAAAATTACAAACAGGAGAGACATATCTCTGTGTTAACAGTTCATTTAGATAATAACATTATCAGATGAAAGATAAGGACTGGAGATCATTGTAGAATTCTTGTTTTAGGAATAAATCTCTGATTATTGTGCATGTATGAAAATTGTATAAAACTGAAATAGAAGGGACCTATAGTGTACTCTTCAATACAATTACAGGTATGCTGAATTTCATTTGCCATGGAGAAATTCCCAAAAGTAAGAGATAGCAAACCAAGATTCTGTCTTCAACAATTAGGTTCAGTCTGAAATTAGAGAATGTTAAACCTCAGTTACTTTATCAAACCATCATGGAATTTTATGAAACTTGCACAGAAGCTTATACATGACAATGAGAGCATCTGGAGCAAATTTTGATTTTTTTATGCCCCCGCTGTAGCAGAGGGGGCATTAAGTTTTACCCTTGTCTGTCTGTCCGTCCGTACATACGTCCCAAAGTTGGTTTCTGTTCTCTAACTTTAGTTTGCCTCAACCAAATGTTATGAAACTTATACACAATGCTTATTACCACTAAATACAGATTAAGTTTGAATTTTGGTGGCGTCACTTTTACCCTTCTAGAGTTATGCTCCTTTTCAAATGGAAAAAATGCTAAATTTTTCGTTTCCGTTCTCTAACTTAAGTTTGCCTCAACCAAATATTATGAAACTTATACACCATACTTATTACCACAATATACAGATCAAGTTTGAATTTTGGTGCCATCACTTTTACTGTTCTAGAGTTATGCCCTTTACAAATGGCAAAATTGTTAAATTTTTTTTTTTTCTAAATATCAAGTCATTTTTGTCAGCCTGCGACTTTTGTCGCAGAAAGCTCGACATAGGGATAGTGATCCGGCGGCGGCGACGGCGTTAGCTAACTTCTTAAAAGCTTTATATTTTAGAAGATGGAAGACCTGGATGCTTCATACTTTGTATATAGATGCCTCATGTTACGAAGTTTCCGTCAGTCACATGTCCAATGTCCTTGACCTCATTTTCATGGTTCAGCGACTACTTGAAAAAAAAGTTCAGATTTTTTGGAATGTTAAATTCTGTCTTATTATAAGTAATAGGATAACTATATTTGGTATGTGCGTTCCTTGCAAGGTCCTCATGCCCGTCAGATAGTTTTCACTTGACCTCGACCTCATTTCATGGATCAGTGAACAAGGTTAAGTTTTCGTGGTCAAGTCCATATCTGAGATACTATAAGCAATAGGTCTACTATATTTGGTGTATGTAATGATAGTAAGGGGTACATGTCTAACTGGCAGGTGTCATCTGACCTTGACCTCATTTTCATGGTTCAGTGGTCATAGTTTAGTTTTTGTGTTTTGGTCTGTTTTTGTCGAGCCTGCGACTTTTGTCGCAGAAAGCTCGACATAGGGATAGCGATCCGGCGGCGGCGGCTACGGCGGCGGCGGCGGCGGCGTTAGCTAACTTCTTAAAAGCTTTATATTTTAGAAGATGGAAGACCTGGATGCTTCATACTTTGTATATGGATGCCTCATGTTACGAAGTTTCCGTCAGTCACATGTCCTATGTCCTTGACCTCATTTTCATGGTTCAGTGACTACTTGAAAAAAAAGTTCAGATTTTTTGTAATGTTAAATTCTCTCTTATTATAAGTAATAGGATAACTATATTTGGTATGTGCGTACCTTGCAAGGTCCTAATGCCCGTCAGACAGTTTTCACTTGACCTCGACCTCATTTCATGGATCAGTGAACAAGGTTAAGTTTTCGTGGTCAAGTCCATATCTCAGATACTATAAGCAATAGGTCTAGTATATTCGGTGTATGGAAGGACTGTAAGGTGTACATGTCCAACTGGCAGGTGTCATCTGACCTTGACCTCATTTTCATGGTTCAGTGGTTATAGTTAAGTTTTTATGTTTTGGTCTGTTTTTCTTATACTGTATGCAATAGGTCTACTATATTTGGTGTATGGAATGATTGTAAGGTGTACATGTCTAGCTGGCAGGTGTCATCTGACCTTGACCTCATTTTCATGGTTCAGTGGTCAAAGTTAAGTTTTTGAGTTTTGGTCTTTCTTTCTAATACTGCATGCAATAGGTCAGCTATATTTGGTGTATGGAATGATTGTAAGGTGTACATGTCTAGCTGGCAGGTGTCATCTTACCTTGACCTCATTTTCATGGTTCAGTGGTCAAAGTTAAGTTTTTGAGTTTTGGTCTTTTTTTCTAATACTATATGCAATAGTTCAACTATATTTGGTGTATGGAAATATTTTATGATCTATATGTCAGTCACGCAGGTTTTATTTGACCTTGACCTCATTTTCAAGGTTCATTGCTCAGTGTTAAGTTTTTGTGTTTTCGTCTGTTTTTCTTAAACTATAAGCAATAGGTCAACTATATTTGTTGTATGGAAGAATTGTTAGCTGTACATGCCTGCCTAGCATGGTTCATCTGACCTTGACCTCATTTTCATGGTTCATTGGTCAATGTTTAGTTTACTTGGTTAATGTTAAGTTTATGCGACAGTTGTAATAAAGCTTTATATTTAGGACTATCAACATAATATCAATGATTAGTAAAGAAGGCGAGACATTTCAGCGTGTGCACTCTTGTTCTAATACTGTATGCAATAGGTCAACTGTATTTGGTGTATGGAAATATTGTATGATGTTCATGTCAGTCTGGCAAGTTTTATTTGACCTTGACCTCATTTTCACGGTTCATTGCTCAATGTTAAGTTTTTGTGTTTTGGTTTGTTTTTCTAATACTGTATGCAGTAGGTCAACTATATTTAGTGTATGGAAATATTTTAGGATGTACATGTCAGTCTGGCATGTTTTATTTGACCTTGACCTCATTTTCAAGGTTCATTGTTAAATGTTAAGTTTTTGTGTTTTGGTCTGTTTTCCTAATACTGTATGCAGTAGGTCAACTATATTTGGTGTATGGAAATATTTAATGATGTACATGTCAGTCTGGCAGATTTTATTTGACCTTGACCTCATTTTCATGGTTCATTGCTTATGTTACGTTTTTGTGTTTCGGTCTGTTTTTCTTACACTTTAAGCAATAGGTCAACTATATTTGGTGTATGGAATGATTGTAAGGTGTACATGTCTAGCTTGCAGCTGTCATTTGACCTTGACCTCATTTTCATGGTTCAGTGGTCAAAGTTAAGATTTTGAGTTTTGGTCTTTTTTTATAATACTATATGCAATAGGTCAACTATATTTGGTGTATGGAAATATTTTATGATCTATATGTCAGTCACGCAGGTTTTATTTGACCTTGACCTCATTTTCAAGGTTCATTGCTCAGTGTTAAGTTTTTGTGTTTTCGTCTGTTTTTCTTAAACTATAAGCAATAGGTCAACTATATTTGTTGTATGGAAGAATTGTTAGCTGTACATGCCTGCCTAGCATGGTTCATCTGACCTTGACCTCATTTTCATGGTTCATTGGTCAATGTTTAGTTTACTTGGTTAATGTTAAGTTTATGCGACAGTTGTAATAAAGCTTTATATTTAGGACTATCAACATAATATCAATGATTAGTAAAGAAGGCGAGACATTTCAGCGTGTGCACTCTTGTTCTAATACTGTATGCAATAGGTCAACTGTATTTGGTGTATGGAAATATTGTATGATGTTCATGTCAGTCTGGCAAGTTTTATTTGACCTTGACCTCATTTTCACGGTTCATTGCTCAATGTTAAGTTTTTGTGTTTTGGTTTGTTTTTCTAATACTGTATGCAGTAGGTCAACTATATTTAGTGTATGGAAATATTTTAGGATGTACATGTCAGTCTGGCATGTTTTATTTGACCTTGACCTCATTTTCAAGGTTCATTGTTAAATGTTAAGTTTTTGTGTTTTGGTCTGTTTTCCTAATACTGTATGCAGTAGGTCAACTATATTTGGTGTATGGAAATATTTAATGATGTACATGTCAGTCTGGCAGATTTTATTTGACCTTGACCTCATTTTCATGGTTCATTGCTTATGTTACGTTTTTGTGTTTTGGTCTGTTTTTCTTACACTTTAAGCAATAGGTCAACTATATTTGGTGTATGGAATGATTGTAAGGTGTACATGTCTAGCTGGCAGCTGTCATTTGACCTTGACCTCATTTTCATGGTTCAGTGGTCAAAGTTAAGATTTTGAGTTTTGGTCTTTTTTTATAATACTATATGCAATAGGTCAACTATATTTGGTGTATGGAAATATTTTATGGTCTTTATGTCAGTCGCGCAGTTTTTATTTGACCTTGACCTCATTTTCACAGTTCATTGCTCAGTGTTAAGTTTTTATTGTGTTTTGGTCTGTTTTTCTTAAACTATAAGCAATAGGTCAACTATATTTGTTGTATGGAAGAATTGTTAGCTGTACATGCCTGCCTGGCATGGTTCATCTGACCTTGACCTCATTTCCATGGTTCATTGGTCAATGTTTAGTTTTCTTGGTTAATGTTAAGTTTATGTGACAGTTGTAAGAAAGCTTTATATTTAGGACTATCAACATAATATCAATGATTAGTAAAGAAGGCGAGACATTTCAGCGTGTGCACTCTTGTTAAAATTGGAGTTATCTTCCTTTGTCCATGATTATAGTTGAATCAACTACAATCAATGCTTTATACAATGCAATGTTTAATTTTGCCTTCCACTGATAAATTAAAGGGAAATCACACTATTGTTTATACGCATCGCTCTTGGCGCCGCTATAGTGTCGTGACCGTATTATAACGATGCCGTTTCGAGTCCTTCGTAAAGGTTGCTAATTTCTAAAATTTCTAAAATGGCGGCCCGCTCAAAGGGACGTTCACTAAAGCAAGAGAAAGCAAATGACGTTTTGATTTAAGTGCAAAAAATGAAAATGCTACTCGAAACAGACAAAATGTATGGCAAAAAAATAGCAGAAAGTGGTCTTGATATGGTCTTGAATTGCCTTACGATTGGGTTTAATTCAAATGAGTTACTTTCTTTAAATAAAGATATTATTATTATTATTATTATTATTGAGTTAGTATTTACATACAATACCATTTATACAATTATTTTTCTTAAAGGTTTATTAATTTCACCGAAAAATATTGTTAGATATGAGAAATATCAACATTTTTTGTTGATCTGGTCTTTATTATTTGTAGCGAAATCCGTCAGCTCAACTTTTTTTGTAGAAAAACTTTTTTTATTTACTGTAAAGTTTATATTTTCTTATATTAGCATATTTATTGATCTCGCAGATTTCTTAGTTTCACGAAGAAAAAAAATATTTAAAAACAAAAGAGATATTTATAACACTTTTTGTCGATCATTTCAGTATAATCAAAGCGTACATCGGCGAATGTGAAATCCATCCGGTCAACTTTTTTTTTAGAAAAACATTTTGTTTTACTATGAAGTTTAAATTTTCATATAAGATAACTATTAATCTCGCAGATTTTCTAGTTGTATGAAAAAATATTGTAAAACAAAAGAGATATTACTAGTAACACTTTTTGTCGATCAGTTCAATATTGTAAAGCGTACATCAGTGAGTGTAAAATCCGTCCGGTCAACTTTTTTTTGTTAAATATTCATAAAATATAGTCTAATATTTCTTAGGTCTTCAAAAATTAAAAAATCTATCAAATAACAAAAAAGTTCTGACTATTTATATCTCATCCGGTCAATACGGGCAATTGTCCTGTCATTAGTGTAACCCAACTGTTGGCAGCGTATCGTCGCGATGCGGTATGTGGGAATATACTGGCAAAAATAACAATATACCAAGAGTAACAGCATGTAAGCGTACAGCTTCCGGAATTTCTAGTTTTCTGTCCAACAGAGGGATGTAAATAAGAACAATGAGTTTCTATGTTCCTTTGGTGTCAAACGCCTCTCTCTCTCTCTCTCTCTCTCTCTCTCTCTCTCTCTCTCTCTCTCTCTCTCTCTCTCTCTCTCTCTCTCTCTCTGTTTCTTTTTTTTTGGGGAAAGGGGGTATAGGGGCACAAACACATGAACACGAGTGATTCGTAGAGTAATCATATTTGTTGAAATATCAAACATTATATAAGAATAACGCCAGTTAAACATCACTGTAAAAGAAGCATACATAATTTTATATCGGTTGCTGTCTGTCGAAATCAAAGAAATTTAGCACAGTATTATATAGTACATTATACTCAATCTTCCTTTAATGCTTTGTACAGGCTTACATAATTTGGGCACAAAAAAAAATCATATTTTGTAGTATTTCTTCAAACTGTCAATTATAGCGAAATGTACGAAAAGGAAGTTAAAAAATAAGGCCGCTAGACGTCAGAGCAATCTGGGAATATCAAACACTATGCCTAGTTATTTTTGTTCTATTGATGACCGTACTGCCTACAACAACAACAAAAAATCCACACTGTATATTTGGCTTTACAAGACTCCAACAAGAGAAATATTTAACACACACACATGTATTTATGTAGAGTAACATGTCTTTCAGAGTGCTAATCTGTAACCATCACATTAAGGTCCGTCTTGTGAAAGAGTATTCATCTCATATAGAAAAAAATTTTGTGCTGATATTCATGTAATATTTGCCACTGAAACTTTTGCAAAAATCAAGAAAAAAACAAAAACAAAAACAAAACAAAAACTAGTAGTTCAGATGTAGGTTCGTGTTCAGATCACTCAATGTGATCACTTTCATGTCAACAAACAGTGATATAGGGAGATTGTCAAATTCCGATCATGACTGTAAAGGACAGAGTACAAAGGTAGCTGATTTACTCTTGATACCTTGGTTCTTTAAAAAAAAAAACGGCCAACATGATATAACAGAGTGCTGAAAGTGGCACACACAATCAATCAGTTATTTTCAAATTACCTATCATTAATCAGTTTTGGCAAAAAAAAGTATATAGGCTATACCATACTGAAACATAAATGTGATAAAAGAATATACAATTCAAGAAAGAGAGGTGCACCAACAGAAAATAGAAACTGCAATCTTTCTTTTAATTTCATCGGATCTCAGATCTCAAAATTTTAACTTTTACCAGAATTTATTCTATCTTACAGTATAACTCGAAAGTTTCTAAAGGGAACTCGAGCTTTTAACTAGAACTCTTACTCGAATTAACATTCGAACTAAAAATAAAACTGGAACTTTAACTCTATATTTAGCTGGAACTCGAACTCTTATTCTACATCAAAGGTTATCCACACTCTCATTTGTCATCTGATAAAAAAATTCGTAAGGGTTCCACGGAACCTAGTGTCTCGCCTACTTTTGCTGTTAATCGCAGCCTCAACAAAAATGAGGAAAAAAATCAATAAAAATATTCCTCTCGATACTATCTTTTGATTGTAAGAAGCTTCTGTCCAAGCTTGGTATAAATCTAGGATAGTTTATGGATCTAATAAATGTTTTAAAAACTTTAACTGCATACTGTATGTAATGTTAACTGGAAGAAAAACTAAGTCCATTTATAAGTAAAATACGGATAAACAGGTGCAAAATTTTGACAAAATTTCCTTCGAGATACAAGCTTTTGATCATAAACAAGCTTCTGTCCAAGTTTGGTACATATCCAGGATAGTTTAAGAAAGTTATTGAAATCTTAAAAACTTTAACCACAGAGTAAATGTATTGTTTCCTGGCAGAAAAACCAAGTCAATTTATAAGTAAAATACGGAAAAATATATTTTTTTTTTACAAAATTTACTTCTGGATACTATCTTATGATCATAAACAAGCTTCTGACCAAGATTGGTACAAATCCAGGATAGTTTAAGAAAGTTATTAAAAATTTAAAAACTCTAACCACAGAGTAAATGTATTGTTTCCTGGCAGAAAAACTAAGTTCATTTATAAGTCAAATATGGAAAAACAGGAATTTTATTTTTGCAAAATTTACTTCTGGATACTATCTTATGATCATAAACAAGCTTCTGTCCAAGTTTGGTAGAAATCCAGGATAGTTTAAGAAAGTTATTAAAACTTCAAAAACTTTAACCACAGAGTGAATATTTGTGGACGCCGCCGCCGCCGCCGACGGAATGTAGGATCGCTATGTCTCGCCTTTTCGACTTAAGTCGAAGGCTCGACAAAAAACTAGAGTTAGATAAAATATATCGACATGTCCACAGAAACACGGATAGATGTAGCAGAACAAGAAAAAAAACTAGATCCGTTTATTACAAATTAAAAGATTTTTTTAATTACATATCAACTGGGAACATTATATGTTCCTGATATCAATATGGCGATGTGTATTTTATTGTCAATTAACTCTAAATTATCAGATGCATTGTATTTCTCATAACATACCAACGTTGAGCGATTAATCGAACGGTAATAGAATATACGTAATACATAAAGTTTTAATGCACAGGCGATGAACATTGAACATATTATGTACAATGAACATGAAACGATGTATGAAAAATGAGTGCGGGATGATAGAACTCAGAAAAAAATTTGGTTTCCACAGTTCGAATAAATTATGAAGCGTTGTGTAATTACGGAACCAATTTTAAATTCCTACCGAAAATAGGTTTCTTCTAACGTGCTGAGTTTGTGGCATTTTTAACACGGCATTTCAGGTTTTATCTTCCCGGTGCGAATGGACAAGCTAGTGAAATTATGGTAACGAAATTATTCTGCCTGCAGTCTAAAAGGAACGTGTTACTTTTCAACCCAGATACCCTCAGTCTTCCGAGGTAGAAGATTCTTTATCTGGAAGCCGAAAATTATTTCTATAATACGGCATGAGGCAAACATTCGTTTTCCCCATACAACAAATGCAATTAAAAAAATGAGATGACTTCAACTTTGACAATTACTTTATAATAAACTGTTATTGTATCTATGTTTAACGATTCGATAGATTGATAAAGATATCAACGAATAATCAAAATACCTTAAAAAATGTTCAAAAATGATATTATATTTTGTAGTGAAAAGGTTTAATTCAACCCAAGCGTTGCAAGAAATGCTGTTATACCAGCAACGTCGTTCTATAACGTTAAAAGTTTATAGTTCCCGCCAAAATTCAATAATAAAGATTATTACCATTTTAGCGGATTTAAAACATCGGTGACCCCCCTTTTTTATTTATGCTTTTAAAATCTTCCCTGAAGCTGCAACTTTTGCAGAAGTTTGAAGGGAAAAACATTAGTAGATTTTTTTTATTTCAAGAAAAATCTATTATAAATAGCAATTAAAAATGGCGGGAAATGTTCAAATGCCTTCAAAAATAAGGAAACCGAGACAAATAAATGTTCATAAGGTACAAGTTACATTTGACTGTTTTTGTTATTCCAGTTAAACATGTTTTTTCAATAAGTTTGTTTTTTTTAACAATTTAGAGCGGTATTTCTATATTTCGTTATAACACGATTCTTTAAGTTTTGATGACGTCATATCTCGAAAACAACATCGGTGACCCCAATTTTTTTTTCGCCTAAAATATCTTTATAAGTATGATCTGTCTACATGCAAAATTTCAATGAATTATTATTAGTAGTATAAATGGTGTGATTTCCCTTTAAAGCAATTTTTACCCTTTTTACCCTTCATTTCTAAAAATATTTTAAAGTCTTCTTTGAAAATTGGAGTTATCTTTCTTTGTGCATAATGGTAGTTGAATCAACTACAACCAATGCTTTATACAATGCAATATTCAATTTTACTTCCTAATGATAAATTAAGCAATCTTTACCATTCAGTGCTTACAAGCACTTTGATTACCGTTCAAGGTTTATGCCCCTTTACAAATGAAAAAAATGCAGAATTTTTCGTTTCCCTTCTCTAACTTTAGTTTGTCTTAACTAAATGTAATTTCTAAAAATATTAATGTCATTTTTCAAGTAATTTCTAAAATTGGAGTTATCTTCCTTTGTCCATGATTATAGTTGAATCAACTACAATCAATGCTTTATACAATGAAATGTTTAATTTTGCCTCCCACTGATAAAACACAGATCAAGTTGAATTTGGGTAGTGTCACTTTAACCATTATTGAGTTATGCCCCTTTATAAATGGAAAGATTGCAAAATTTTTAGTTTCCATTCTGTAACTTAAGTTTGCCCCAACCAAACATTATGAAACCTATACACAATATTCATTACCTCAAAACTAAGATAATGTACAATTTTTTTGTTTCCGTTCTCTAACTTTAGTTTGCCTTAAACCAAATGTTATGAAACTTATACACAATGCTTATTACTAGATAATACAGATTAAGTACGAAATTTGGTGGCGTCACTTTTTACCATTCTTGAGTTATGTCTTTTTATAAACATAAAAACTACTGAATTTTTCGTTTCCGTTCTCTAACTTTAGTTTGTCTCAACCAAATGTTATAAAAGTTCTACACAACCGTTCTTGAGTTATGCATGTTTACAAATAGAAAAATTGCTGAATTTTTATACGACCGCAAAAAATTATTTGTTGTCGTATATTGGTATGACGTTGGAGTCGTCGTCGTTGTCGTCGTCCGAAGACACATTAGTTTTCGCACTCTAACTTTAGTTTAAGTGAATGGATCTCAATGAAATTTTACCATAAGGTTCAATACCACAAAAGGAAGGTGGGGATTGATATTGGGGGTTATGGTACCCACAGTTAAGGAAAAAGGGGCCAAAAATAAGCATTTTTGTAACTTCCTGACATAGCTTGTGTGTAAGTGTATGGATCTCTCTGACATTGTACCACAAGGTTCCATATCACAAAGGAAATGCTAAGATTGATTTTGCGGGTAATTGCCTCCAAATTTTAGGAATTAGGGGCCAAAAAGGGGCAAAAAACAAGCATTTTTCTAGTTTCATGACAATAACTTGTGTGTAAGTGTATGGATCTCTCTGACATTGTATCACAAGGTTCCATATCACAAAGAGAATGCTTAGATTGATTTTGGTGGTAATTGCCTCCAAATTTTAGGAATTAGGGGCCAAAAAGGGGCAAAAAACAAGCGTTTTTCTAGTTTCATGACAATAACTTGTGTGTAAGTGTATGAATCTTTATGAAATTGTACTACAAGGTTCCATATTACAAAGGGAAAGCTGGAATTGAGTTTGGGGGTAATTGGCCAAAACGTTTAGGAATAAGGGGCCAAAAATAAGCATTTTTCTAGTTTCCAGACAATAACTTGTGTTCAAATGTATGGATCTCTCCGAAATTATACTGCAAGGTACCATACCACAAAGGGAAGGCTGGGATTGATTTTGGGGGTAATTCCCTCAAAATTTTAGTAATTAGGGGCCATAAAAGGGAAAAAAAACAAGCATTTTTCTAGTTTCAGGACAATAACTTGTGTGTAAGTGTATGGATCTTTAAGAAATTGTACTGCAAGGTTCCATATCACAAAGGGAAAGCTGGGTTTGAGTTTGGGGGTAATTGCCCTAAAAGTTTAGGAATTTGGGGCCAAAAGGGGGCCAAAAAATAAGCATTTTTCTAGTTTCCAGACAATAACTTGTGTTCAAGTGTATGGATCTCTCCGAAATTATACTGCAAGGTACCATACCACAAAGGGAAGGCTGGTATTGATTTTGGGGGTAATTCCCTCAAAATTTTAGTAATTAGGGGCCATAAAAGGGAAAAAATCAAGCATTTTTCTAGTTTCAGGACAATAACTTGTGTGTAAGTGTATGGATCTTTAAGAAATTGTACTGCAAGGTTCCATATCACAAAGGGAAAGCTGGGTTTGAGTTTGGGGGTAATTGCCCTAAAAGTTTAGGAATTTGGGGCCAAAAGGGGGCCAAAAAATAAGCATTTTTCTAGTTTCCAGACAATAACTTGTGTTCAAGTGTATGGATCTCTCCGAAATTATACTGCAAGGTACCATACCACAAAGGGAAGGCTGGGATTGATTTTGGGGGTAATTCCCTCAAAATATTAGTAATTAGGGGCCATAAAAGGGGCAAAAAACAAGCATTTTTCTAGTTTCATGACAATAACTTGTGTGTAAGTGTATTGATCTCTCTGACATTGTATCACAAGGTTCCATATCACAAAGGGAATGCTTAGATTGATTTTGGTGGTAATTGCCTCCAAATTTTAGGAATTAGGGGCCAAAAAGGGGCCAAAAATAAGCATTTTTCTAGTTTCAAGACAATAACTTGTGTTCAAGTGTATGGATCTCTCTGAAATTGTACTGCAAGGTACCATACCACAAAGGGAAAGCTGGGATTGAGTTTGGGGGTGATGAATCATAAGGGGGTTAAAAAAATTGGGGGGGGGGATATTTTTTTCCTTTGTTTTCTTTAAAATTTTCCATTTTAAATTGAGTTCTTAGACCACTTTCATTCTGTGTGAGAAACCTATGCTGTGTCAAATATTTAATTACAATCCAAATTCAATGCTGTATCAAGCTTGAATGTTGTGTCCATTCTTGCCCCAACTGTTCAGGGTTCGACCTCTGCGGTCGTATCAAGCTGCGCCCCAGTGGAGCATTTTATTAGTTTCTGTTCTCTACTTAAGTTATGAGACTTACACACAATGCTTATTACCACAAAACTCAGATCAAGTTCAAATTTAGGTAGCATCTCTTTTACTGTTCTTCAGTTATGTCCCTTTATAACTATATGAAATGCAAGCGGGAGCATCATCTGTGGACACATGTGGACACAATCCACATTTATTTGTTCATTTTTATACGACCGCAAAAATTAAAAATTTTTTGGTCGTATATTGGTATGACGTTGGCGTCGTCGTTGTCGTCGTTGTCTGGCGTCGTCCGGCGTCGTCCAAAGACACATTGGTTTTCGCACTCTAACTTTAGTTTAAAAGAATTGATCTCTATGAAATTTTACCATAAGGTTCAATACCACAAAAGGAAGGTTGGGATTGATTTTGGGGGTTATGGTACCAACAGTTAAGGAATTAGGGGCCAAAAATAAGCATTTTTGTAACTTCCAGACATAACGTGTGTGTTAGTGTATGGATCTCTCTGACATTGTACCACAAGGTTCCATATCACACAGGGAATGCTGGGATTGATTTTGGGGGTAATTGCCTCAAAATATTAGGAATTAGGGGCCAAAAAAGGGGCAAAAAACAAGCATTTTTCTAGTTTCATGACAATAACTTGTGTGTAAGTGTATGGATCTTTCTGAAATTGTACTACAAGGTTCCATATCACAGAGAGAAAGCTGGAATTGAGTTTGGGGGTAATTGCCTCAAAATATTAGGAATTAGGGGCCAAAAAAGGGGCCAAAAATAAGCATTTGTCTAGTTCCCAGACAATAACTTGTGTGTTAGTGTATGGATCTCTCTGACATTGTACCACAAGGTTCCATATCACACAGGGAATGCTGGGATTGATTTTGGGGGTAATTGCCTCAAAATATTAGGAATTAGGGGCCAAAAAAGGGGCAAAAAACAAGCATTTTTCTAGTTTCATGACAATAACTTGTGTGTAAGTGTTTGGATATTTCTGAAATTGTACTACAAGGTTTCATATCACAAAGGGAAGGTTGGGATTGATTTTGGGGGTTATGGTACCAACAGTTAAGGAATTAGGGGCCAAAAAGGGGCCAAAAATAAGCATTTTTGTAACTTTCAGACAATAACTTGTGTGTAAGTGTATGGATCTCTCTGACATTGTACCACAAGGTTCCATATCACAAAGGGAAGGCTGTAATTGATTTTGGGGGTAATTGCCTCAAAATGTTAGGAATTAGGGGCCAAAAAAGGGACAAAAAACAAGCATTTTTCTAGTTTCATGACAATAACTTGTGTGTAAGTGTTTGGATATTTCTGAAATTGTACTACAAGGTTTCATATCACAAAGGGAAAGCTGGAATTGAGTTCGGGGGTAATTGCCTGAAACGTTTAGGAATTGGGGGCCAAAAAGGGGCCAAAAATAAGCATTTTTCTAGTTTCAAGACAATAACTTGTGTTCAAGTGTATGGATCTCTCTGAAATTGTACTGCAAGGTACCATACCACAAAGGGAAGGCTGGGATTGAGTTTGGGGGTGATGAATCATAAGGGGGTTCAAAAAATTTGGGGGGGGGGGGGGGGATTTTTTTTTTTTTTCTTTTTATACGACCGCAAAAATTGAAAATTTTTTGGTCGTATATTGGTATGACGTTGGCGTCGTCGTCGTCCGGCGTCGTCCGAAGACACATTGGTTTTCGCACTCTAACTTTAGTTTAAGTGAATGGATCTCCATGAAATTTTACCATAAGGTTCAATACCATGAAAGGAAGGTTGGGATTGATTTTGGGGGTTATGGTACCAACAGTTAAGGAATTAGGGGCCAAAAAGGGGCCAAAAATAAGCATTTTTGTAACTTCCAGACAATAACTTGTGTGTAAGTGTATTGATCTCTCTGACATTGTACCACAAGGTTCCATATCACAAAGGGAAGGCTGTAATTGATTTTGGGGGTAATTGCCTCAAAATGTTAGGAATTAGGGGCCAAAAAAGGGGCAAAAAACAAGCATTTTTCTAGTTTCATGACAATAACTTGTGTGTAAGTGTTTGGATATTTCTGAAATTGTACTACAAGGTTCCATATCACAAAGGGAAAGCTGGAATTGAGTTTGGGGGTAATTGCCCGAAACGTTTAGGAATTGGGGGCCAAAAAGGGGCCAAAAATAAGCATTTTTCTAGTTTCCAGACAATAACTTGTGTTCAAGTGTATGGATCTCTCTGAAATTGTACTGCAAGGTACCATACCACAAAGGGAAGGCTGAGATTGAGTTTGGGGGTGATGAATCATAAGTGGGTTCAAAAAATTTTGGGGGGGGATTTTTTTTTTCTTTTTTTTTTCTTTTTTTCCTTTTTTTTTTCTTTTAAAATTTTCCATTTTAAGTTGGTTATTTCTGATTTATATTTAAAAGCAAATAATAATGATATGGTAGGAGATACACACCAAACAGGATGTGTAAATTATTATATAATAAGTATTGTGCAATAGCAAGAAATTTTCAATTGCACAGTATTGCACAATAGCAAGAAATCTTCAATTGCACAGTATTGCGCAATAGCAAGAAATCTTCAATTGCACAGTATTGCGCAATAGCAAGAAATATCCAATAGCACAATATTGCGCAATAGCAAGAAATTGTCAATTGTACAGTATTGCGCAATAGCAAGAAATAATCAATTGCACAGTATTGTGCAAAAGAAGATACTTCGTATAAATTGCTTATTTCTTGATCAATTTCAATGGGGTTTTATTCTTGAATTCTTGGGGTTCTTTAATATGCTGAATCTAACCGTGTATTAAGTTTTTGGATTTTGGGCCCCGTTTTTAAATTGGTCCACATTGAGGTCCAAAGGGTCCAAAATTTAACTTTGTTTGATTTCATCAAAAATTGAATTATTGGGGTTCTTTGATATGCCGAATCTAACCGTGTATTTAGATTCTTAATTTTTGGTTCTGTTTTCAAATTGGTCTACATAAAGGTCCAAAGGGTCCAAAATTAAACTTAGTTTGATTTCAACAAAAATTGAATATATGGGGTTCTTTGATATGCTGAATCTAACCATGTATTTAGATTTTTGATTATGGGCCCAGTTTTCAAGTTGGTCCAAATCGGGGTCCAAAATTAAACTTTGTTTGATTTCAACAAAAATTGAATATATGGGGTTCTTTGATATGCTGAATCTAACCATGTATTTAGATTTTTGATTGTTGGGCCCCGTTATCAACTTTGTCCACATTGAGATCAAAAGGGTCCAAAATTAAACTTTGTTTGATTTCATCCAAAATTGAATATATGGGGTTCTTTGATATGCTGAATCTAACCATGTATTTAGATTTTTGATTATGGGCCCAGTTTTCAAGTTGGTTCAAGTCGGGGTCCAAAATTAAACTTTGTTTGATTTCAACAAAAATTGAATATATGGGGTTCTGTAATATGCTGAATCTAACCGTGTATTAAGTTTTTGGATTTTGGGCCCCGTTTTTAAATTGGTCCACATTGAAGTCCAAAGGGTCCAAAATTTAACTTTGTTTGATTTCATCAAAAATTGAATTATTGGGGTTCTTTGATATGCCGAATCTAACCGTGTATTTAGATTCTTAATTTTTGGTTCCGTTTTCAAATTGGTCTACATAAAGGTCCAAAGGGTCCAAAATTAAACTTAGTTTGATTTTAACAAAAAATGAATTTTTAGGGTTCTTTGATATGCTGAATCTAAACATGTATTTAGATTTTTGATTATGGGCCCAGTTTTCAAGTTGGTCCAAATCGGGGTCCAAAATTAAACTTTGTTTGATTTCAACAAAAATTGAATATATGGGGTTCTTTGATATGCTGAATCTAACCATGTATTTAGATTTTTGATTTTTGGGCCCTGTTATCATTTTTGTCCACATTGAGATCAAAAGGGTCCAAAATTAAACTTTGTTTGATTTCATCAAAAATTGAATTCTTGGGGTTCTTTGATATGCTGAATCTAACCATGTATTTAGATTTTGGATATTGGACCATAATAGGTGAATGTCCAATTTAAAATTTTTAAGTTCTTAGACCACATTCATTCTGTGTCAGAAACCTATGCTGTGTCAAATATTTAATCACAATCCAAATTCAGAGCTGTATCAAGCTTGAATGTTGTGTCCATACTTGCCCCAACTGTTCAGGGTTCGACCTCTGCGGTCGTATCAAGCTGCGCCCTGCGGAGCATTTTATTTTTTATTTTTTTCCTTTTTTTTTTCTTTTAAAATTTTCTATTTTAAGTTGGTTATTTCTGATTTATATTTAAAAGCAAATAATAATGATATGGTAGGAGATACACACCAAACAGGATGTGTAAATTTTTATATAATAAGTATTGTGCAATAGCAAGAAATTTTCAATTGCACAGTATTGCACAATAGCAAGAAATCTTCAATTGCACAGTATTGCGCAATAGCAAGAAATCTTCAATTGCACAGTACTACGCAATAGCAAGAAATATCCAATAGCACAATATTGCGCAATAGCAAGAAATTGTCAATTGTACAGTATTGCGCAATAGCAAGAAATATTCAATTGCACAGTATTGTGCAAAAGAAGATACTTCGTATAAATTGCTTATTTCTTGATCAATTTCAATGGGGTTTTATTCTTGAATTCTTGGGGTTCTTTAATATGCTGAATATAACCGTGTATTAAGTTTTTTGATTTTGGGCCCCGTTTTTAAATTGGTCCACATTGAGGTCCAAAGGGTCCAAAATTAAACTTTGTTTGATTTCATCAAAAATTGAATCATTGGGGTTCTTTGATGTGCCGAATCTAACCGTGTATTTAGATTCTTAATTTTTGGTTCCGTTTTCAAATTGGTCTACATTAAGGTCCAAAGGGTCCAAAATTAAACTTAGTTTGATTTTAACAAAAATTGAATTCTTAGGGTTCTTTGATATGCTGAATCTAAACATGTATTTAGATTTTTGATTATGGGCCCAGTTTTCAAGTTGGTCCAAATCGGGGTCCAAAATTAAACTTTGTTTGATTTCAACAAAAATTGAATATATGGGGTTCTTTGATATGCTGAATCTAACCATGTATTTAGATTTTTGATTTTTGGGCCCCATTATCAACTTTGTCCACATTGAGGTCAAAAGGGTCCAAAATTAAACTTTGTTTGATTTCATCAAAAATTGAATTCTTGGGGTTCTTTGATATGCTGAATCTAACCATGTATTTAGATTTTGGATATTGGACCAAAATAGGTGAATGTCCAATTTAAAATTTTTAAGTTCTTAGACCACATTCATTCTGTGTCAGAAACCTATGCTGTGTCAAATATTTAATCACAATCCAAATTCAGAGCTGTATCAAGCTTGAATGTTGTGTCCATACTTGCCCCAACTGTTCAGGGTTCGACCTCTGCGGTCGTATCAAGCTGCACCCTGCGGAGCATTTTATTACTTTATAGGTTACATTTAGATACAGTTTAGGTTAAAGTTTTTAAAATACCAATAACCTTTTTCAGACCTTTATTGAATTCCAGAAAACTTTAACAGAAGCTTCTTCATAATCTAGAGATAGCATTTAGGGTAAACGAAAAATAATATATTTTTTTCCATTTTTTCGTAGGACTTAGTTCAGTTTTTTGCAGTCAAGATTTAAAATTGAGTAACTGTCTAGCCTAAATAGAATTTTAATTATTGTGCCTTGACTGTAAGTGTTGCTCTCCACCTATTACATAGCATTTTATACCCCACGCAACAAGTTGCGGAGGGTATAATGTTTTTGACCAGTCCGTCCGTCCATCTGTCCGTCCGTCAGTCCTGTTTCTTGTCATCACAACTCCTCTCAAACCACAACCGAATTTCACGAAACCTTTTTAGATAAAAAGGACATACTATGTAGTTGTGCATATCGACAGGAAATTACAATTCAATTTTTTTTCCAGGAGTTATGCCCCTTTGAACTTATTTGCCCAATATACTACTGCAACAGTTTGTCATCGCAACTCCTCTCAAACCACACAACAGAATTTCATGAAACCTTTTCAGATAATAAGGACATACTACGTAGATGTGCATATCGACAGGAAATTATGATTCAATTCTTTTTCAGGAGTAACGCCCCTTTGAACTTATTTGCCCAATATACTACTGCAACCTTTTGTCATCGCAACTCCTCTTAAACCACACAACAGAATTTCACGAAACCTTTTTAGATAATAAGGACATACTATGTAGTTGTGCATATCGACAGGAAATTACGATTCAATTCTTTTTCTAGGAGTAACGCCCCTTTGAACTTATTTACTTTAATGTACTACTGCAACAGTTTGTCATTGCAACTCCTCTCAAACCACACAACAGAATTTCATGAAACCTTTTCAGATAATAAGGACATACTACGTAGATGTGCATATTGACAGGAAATTATGATTCGTTTTTTTTTTTTGATACAATATTTTTCTTACACTTATTTTATTTCTCCAATGACAATGTGGGGACGTGGGGTATGTGAGCGCGCTCACTAAGGTTCTTTCATTATCTATTGTCAACAAAATTCACAATATTTCAATAAGATTAATAGATTTTGGTAACTAAGTCCTTATTATTGAATAAAGTAACATTCATTTTCAGTGGAAAATTGTGATAACGTTAATTAATTTCAAATTAAAAATTGTTTGCTAGCAACTCCTAGTTATTAATGTAAGATAATTCTGGTTAATTTTATTCAACATTTTATCATTATGGGGAGATAATCTAATTTTGCTTTCATATATAGTCTTTTTCCAAAAAAAAATCATGAAGGTTTCAATCATAATTTCTCACTAAAGCATTTGACAAATTTCAAGTTTAAAGTGGTGGTTATGGTGTTCTGTTCATGTGTTTGTGTGTCTTGTATGGTGTTTTTTAGAGGGAGGTTACACAGAATACATATATATGTCTTCAGGGAATCAAGTTGAGCAAATAAATCAAGACAATATTTCTGCTTCATTTGAATTCTGACACAATTATATACACAATATAAAAAACAATAAACATATGCTTTTACAAGTACTGAAGTAGCAGGATCAATGCTGTTTAAGATTGGGGGATGCGGACATCAACTTAAAACAGTGTATTCCTGACTGACAGATGTCAAAAAGTAAAGTGCGTTATACATCTGAAATTCTGAATATATAACCTAAGTTAAAAAGTTAACAGTATTCACTTTATAAAGTAAATTAACATACTACAACTTGAAGTATCAATTCCAGGATTAGTACTTGGCAGATTCATTACCCTTACTCTGGGTAAGATAACTAACTACTAGGGGGGTATTTAACAACCTTGACCACCCATTAGGGTCTCGCATGGTCACTAAGATAACTAACTACTAGGGGGTGTTTAACAACCTTGACCACCCATGAGGGGCTCGCATGGTCAGTAAGATAACCAACTACTACGGGGTGTTTAACAACCTCGATCACCCATGAGGGTCTTGCATGGTCCGTAAGATAACTAACTACTAGGGGGGTGTTTAACAACCTTGATCACCCTTGAGGGTCTCGCATGGTCGGTAAGATAACTAACTACTAGGGGGGGTGTTTAACAACCTTGACCACCCATGAGGGTCTCGCATGGTCGGTAAGATAACTAACTACTAGGGGGTGTTTAACAATCTTGTCCACCCATGAGGGTTTCGCATGGTCGGTAAGATAACTAACTACTAGGGGGTGTTTAACAACCTTGACCACCCATGAGGGTCTTGCATGGTCAGTAAGAAAGATAACTAACTACTAGGGGTTGTTTAGCAACCTTGACCACCCATGAGGGTCTCTCGTGGTCGGTCAGAGAACTAACTACTAGGGAGTGTGTAACAACCTTGATCATCCATGAGGGTCTCACATGGTTGGCAAGCTAACTAACTACTAGGGGGGTGTTTAACAACCTTGATCACCCATGAGGGTTCCGCATGGTCGGTAAGATAACTAACTACTAGGGGGGTGTTTAACAACCTTGATCACCCATGAGTGTCTCGCATGGTCGGTAAGTTAACTTAACCTTAGCAAGCTAATATTTATAAACTTATGAAAGGTTTTTTATATTGGTAAATAATATTTTTAAACGTTTCAAAACAAATAATTTGAGGAGTTCCTGTGACAATAGATTGCCCATTACAAAAGAGATATTATCAAAATTATTGTTAGCGGAAATCTTCAATTGCACAGTTTTGCGCAATAGAACAGTATTGCGCAATAGAACAGTATTGCGCAACAACACAGTATTGCGCAATAGCACAGTATTTATTGCACAATAGCAAGAAATCTTAAATTGCACAGTGTTGCGCAATAGCAAGAAATCTTCAATTGAAAATAAATACAAATCTTTTTACCAATTTCAATGGGATTAATTTAAAGTCTTTAATTTTTGGGGGTTCTAACCTTGTATTACTTTTTGGGATATTGGGCCCCATTTTTAAATTGGTCTACATTGAGGTCAAAAGGGTCTGAAATTAAACTTTATTTGATTTCATCAAAAACTGAATTATTGCAGTTATATGATATGCTGAATCTTATTGTGCATTTAGATTTTTTATTTTGGGCCCTGTTTTCAAATAAGTCCATATTAAGGTTTGAAGGGTCTAAAATTAAACTTTGTTTGATTTCAACTAAAATTAATTTTTTGGTGTTTTTTTATACAACCGCAAAAAAAATTTTGTGGTCGTATATTGGTATGACGTTGGCGTCGTCGTCGTCCGGCGTCGTCCAAAGACACATTGGTTTTTATACGACCGCAAAAAAATTTTTGTGGTCGTATATTGGTATGACGTTGGCGTCATCGTCATCGTCCGAAGACACATTAGTTTTCGCACTCTAACTTTAGTTTAAGTGAATGGATCTCAATGAAATTTTACCATAAGGTTCAATACCACAAAAGGAAGGTGGGGATTGATTTTGGGGGTTATGGTACCCACAGTTAAGGAATTAGGGGCCAAAAATAAGCATTTTTGTAACTTCCAGACATAACTTGTGTGTAATGTATGGATCTATCTGACCTTGTACCACAAGGTTCCATATCACAAAGGGAATGCTGGGATTGATTTTGGGGGTAATTGCCTCCAATTTTAGGAATAAGGGGCCAAAAAGGGGCAAAAAACAAGCATTTTTCTAGTTTCATGACAATAACTTGTGTGTAAGTGTATGGATCTCTCTGACATTGTATCACAAGGTTCCATATCACAAAGGGAATGCTGGGATTGATTTTGGGGGTAATTGCCTCCATATTTTAGGAATTAGGGGCCTAAAAGGGGCGAAAAACAAGCATTTTTCTAGTTTCATGACAATAACTTGTGTGTAAGTGTATGGATCTTTATGAAATTGTACTACAAGGTTCCATATTACAAAGGGAAAGCTGGAATTGAGTTTGGGGGTAATTGTCCAAAAAGTTTAGGAATAAGGGGCCAAAAAGGGGCCAAAAATAAGCATTTTTCTAGTTTCCAGACAATAACTTGTGTTCAAATGTATGGATCTCTCTGAAATTGTACTGCAAGGTACCATACCACAAAGGGAAGGCTGGGATTGATTTTGGGGGTAATTCCCTCAAAATTGTAGTAATTAGGGGCCATAAAAGGGCAAAAAACAAGCATTTTTCTAGTTTCAGGACAATAACTTGTGTGTAAGTGTATGGATCTTTATGAAATTGTACTGCAAGGTTCCATATCACAAAGGGAAAGCTGGGTTTGAGTTTGGGGGTAATTGCCCTAAACGTTTAGGAATTTGGGGCCGAAAAGGGGCCAAAAAACAAGCATTTTTCTAGTTTCCAGACAATAACGTGTGTTCAAATGTATGGATCTTTCTGAAATTGTACTACAAGGTTCCATATCACAAAGGGAAAGCTGGGTTTGAGTTTGGGGGTAATTGCCCTAAACGTTTAGGAATTTGGGGCAAAAAAACACATTTTTCTAGTTTCCAGACAATAACTTGTGTTCAAGTGTATGGATCTCTCTGAAATTGTACTGCAAGGTACCATACCACAAAGGGAAGGCTGGGATTGAGTTCGGGGGTGATGAATCATAAGGGGGTTCAAAAATTTGGGAGGGGGGATTTTTTGTTTTTCTTTTTTTTTTTTTTTTTTTTTAAATTTTCCATTTTAAGTTGGTTATTTCTGATTAATATTTAAAAGCAAATAATAATGATATGGTAGGAGATACACACCAAACAGGATGTGTAAATTATTATATAATAAGTATTGTGCAATAGCAAGAAATTTTCAATTGCACAGTATTGCACAATAGCAAGAAATCTTCAATTGCACAGTATTGCGCAATAGCAAGAAATCTTCAATTGCACAGTATTACGCAATAGCAAGAAATATCCAATAGCACAATATTGCGCAATAGCAAGAAATTGTCAATTGTACAGTATTGCGCAATAGCAAGAAATATTCAATTGCACAGTATTGTGCAAAAGAAGATACTTCTAATAAATTGCTTATTTCTTGATCAATTTCAATGGGGTTTTATTCTTGAATTCTTGGGGTTCTTTAATATGCTGAATCTAACCGTGTATTAAGTTTTTGGATTTTGGGCCCCATTTTTAAATTGGTCCACATTGAGGTCCAAAGGGTCCAAAATTTAACTTTGTTTGATTTCATCAAAAATTGAATTATTGGGGTTCTTTGATATGCCGAATCTAACCGTGTATTTAGAATCTTAATTTTTGGTTCCGTTTTCAAATTGGTCTACATTAAGGTCCAAAGGGTCCAAAATTAAACTTAGTTTGATTTTAACAAAAATTGAATTTTTAGGGTTCTTTGATATGCTGAATCTAAACATGTATTTAGATTTTTGATTATGGGCCCAGTTTTCAAGTTGGTCCAAATCGGGGTCCAAAATTAAACTTTGTTTGATTTCAACAAAAATTGATTTTATGGGGTTCTTTGATATGCTGAATCTAACCATGTATTTAGATTTTTGATTTTTGGGCCCCGTTATCAACTTTGTCCACATTGAGGTCAAAAGGGTCCAAAATTAAAGTTTGTTTGATTTCATCAAAAATTGAATTCTTGGGGTTCTTTGATATGCTGAATCTAACCATGTATTTAGATTTTGGATATTGGACCATAATAGGTGAATGTCAAATTTAAAATTTTTAAGTTCTTGGATCACATTCATTCTGTGTCAGAAACCTATGCTGTGTCAAATATTTAATCACAATCCAAATTCAGAGCTGTATCAAGCTTGAATGTTGTGTCCATACTTGCCCCAACTGTTCAGGGTTCGACCTCTGCGGTCGTATCAAGCTGCGCCCTGCGGAGCATTTTATTATTCTTTTCTTTTAATTGCATCATTGCATTTATTTAGAGTAGACGTTTACAGGGGCGGATCCAGGATTTTGGAAAGGTGGGGCGTAGTATTAAAGTTCGGACCTTTTTTTGGCATAAAAACATAAAATAAGTGTAAAATGCATTTTATAGTTAAAGTGTAGGGGTTGGACATTTTTGGTGCGGTATTCTCTCCATTAATTGTCTATTATAAAATGATTGGATGGATCCAAAGCTATGTACTAATTAATATATATGATGTGGGATTTGTCAGTAAAAAATGGACATGGAAAATTCTCGTTTGTTGCATGGTTAGTTAGCATAACCTCACAGATTTCTTGTTGTAAACAAGATATACGGCTATTCAATGAAATTTACAATATGACCAACGCGAAGAAAGACAAATAAGCAATTTTCAACCAACAAGGGAAGTGAGGGGTTCCAAATCAACCAAAGGCTACGAATTAGTAGGAAATGAAAATGAAGTTGTGAATGACGGTCGACACATGGAGACATATAGGCCACACCCAGCAGGCAGGTTGCAGTCGGGCCTTGAAAAAAGTATTCAGTATATCAGTTCGGCGAAACATACACTCCGGTCAGATATGGGATTCACATGCAACCCCCCCAAAAAAAATTACGCCCGTTTTTTATTCATCATGTTCATTTAATGCTAAATAATTTTGTTGAAAATATTTTTTTCTAATAGCAAAAAAGTGGACAAGATTATTGTTTTCAATCCAGATATGGCCAGAATTTTGTTTAAGGCAAAAATCAGGGTCAGAATTTTTTCTCTAAAATATCTCAGACTGCCCCCTCAAATCAAATGGTCCGTACCTTAGACTTTAAATCTATATCTAGAGCTTACTGACTGGGGATCAGTATTCAGCAATTTTATTAATGGGTTGGGGCGTGTTGGGTTAAACATGTTTTTGTAGGTAAATAATATTGCTGTGGAACTTTTTTTTTCATGAGAGTGTAATAGAGTATTACTTTCTGTTGGGTGGAATTGTGAAATAGAAGTCAATACGTTCTTGCTCAATACTTTGTCGCTTTGAAGGTGTCATGCTTGTCATCCTCAGCCTAAGCAATGTGTTACTGTAATTTGAATTTCAAAATGACTGAGTGACGTTTTTTTTTCGATGTACTGGTCAACTCCACCGTAGCGAATCACATGACTCTGCAGGCCTCGACAATAACGCTTGTCCGATTGTCCGGTACCAGAGGAAAAAAAGGTCGGACAAGTAAAAGCTATATCAAGCTTGTCCGACGGGACAAGTAAAATTATTCTGCAGAAAATAAATTTAATCCAACTTTGATGAACAAAGTAATTATAAACAAAAAACAAGAAAAGAAGATAAAAACAAGTATTAATTTGACATGTTTACTTGCAAACCGATAACTTTAAACTGGTTCTTTGTCAGGTACTTTTTAATAGGTAAAAGGCATACTATTCTCGGAAACCAGTTTTACTGATCCGAATCAGCGATGCGCTTTGTAGAAAAGGTAACTTTACAAGACAGTTCGTCACCAGCTCGGAAACGATTCGGCTCCCATGTTTAATAGACAGTTTGGCACCGTAGGAGACATATTTAATAGACATGATTGATAGACAGTTTGGCAACGCAGGAGACATTTCGGGACCAAGACAAATCAGTACCTCGTTTTCCTACCTTATTCTGTTGCTTTATAATAAATACCATACCGGTTATTTTTTTAACAAAAATATTTTTTAAATAAAAATGAAGAAATTATTTACCATAAAATTCACAAAATCATAATTGATCATATGTAGAAAGAAACAATAATTGCAATACGGTGACCTATAGTTGTTAATTTCTGTGTCATTCGGTCTCTTGCAGAGAGTTGTCTCATTGGCAATCATACATCATCTTCTTTTTTTTATTGATTGCATTTGAATAATATTTTTTCAACTTAAACAACCAGGATACAAATCCAATGAGTGTACATTGACAAGCCTATCAGACGGTGCCTCATGTGCAGAGTCTGATGAGACTTTGGCATTGATGAAAACTAGAACCTAAGCCCTGTGACATGACTAGATTCAGTTGTTCTCGACTCATATTTTTGAAAAGTATTTCAAAAGATATAAATAAAATTCTGTTCTATTGTTTTAATTCATTTTTGTTCCTTGAATCAACTTAAAATGCAAACAAGGTTATTATTAAGATTTTTTTTGGACAAGTTACAATTTCATTCGGACAAGTAAGTTTTGGGTTGCACTTGTCCTACTGGACAAGTTGAAAAAAAAGTTATTGTAGAGGCCTGACTCTGACATAATCAATAATATATTACAGTAAATACAGCGAAAAATATCTTTATAAGTAAAGAATTGTGGCATAAAAATTAAATACATGGGAAATGGCAAAGTTCGCAAAGTCTAGTCTGATTAATCATTTTACAAAAAAAAAAAAAAAAAAAGTGCAAGCAAAGGGGGATGGGGCGTACGCCCTCTAATCCCCCCTCTGGATCCACCGCTGATTTATCTCCTTATGGATACAGATCGACAGGGCTTGCTCCATCCATTTTTAGCTCACCTGGCCCAAAGGGCCAAGTGAGCTTTTCTCATCACTTGGCGTCCGTCGTCCGTCGTCGTCCGTTGTCGTTAACTTTTACAAAAATCTTCTCCTCTGAAACTACTGGGCCAAATTAAACAAAACTTGGCCACAATCATCATTGGGGTATCTAGTTTAAAAAATGTGTCTGGTGACCCGGCCAACCAACCAAAATGGCCGCAATGGCTAAAAATAGAACATAGGGGTAAAATGTAGATTTTGGCTTATATCTCTGAAACCAAAGCATTTAGAGCAAAACTGACAAGGGTAAAATTGTTTATCAGGTCAAGATCTATCGGCCCTGAAATTTTCAGATGAATCTGACAACCTGTCGTTGGGTTGCTGCCCCTGAATTGGTAATTTTCAGGAAATTTTGCCGTTTTTGATTATTATCTTGAATATTATTATAGATAGAGATAAACTGTAAACAGCAATAATGTTCAGCAAAGTAAGATCTACAAATAAGTCAACCTGACCAAAATGGTCAGTTGACCCCTTAAGGAGTTATTGCCCTTTATAGTCAATTTTTAACCATTTTTCGTAAATTCTTTGTAATCTTTTACAAAAATCTTTTCCTCTGAAACTACTAGGACAAATTTAACCAAACTTGTCCACAATCATCATTAGGGTATCTAGTTTAAAAAATGTGTCCGATGACTCTGCCTGCGAACCAAGATGGCTGACATGGCTAAAAAATAGTACATAGGGTAAAATGCAGTTTTTGGCTCGTATCTCTGAAACCAAAGCATTTAGAGCAAATCTGACACGATAAAATTGTTCATTAGGTCAAGGTCTATCTGCCCTGAAATTTTCAGACCAATCAGGCAACACGTTGTTGGGTTGCTGCCCCTGAATTGGTAATTTTAAGAAAATTTTGCAGCTTTTGGTTATTATCTTGAATATTGTTATAGATAGAGGTAAACTGTAAACAGCAATAATGTACAGCAAAGTAATATCTACAAATAAGTCAACATGACCAAAATTGTCAATTGACCCCTTAAGGAGTTATTGCCCTTTATAGTCAATTTTTTACAATTTTCATAAATTTTGTAAATTTTTGTAAATTTTTACAAAATATTTTCCACTGTAACTACTGGGCCAAGTTCATTATAGATAGAGATAATTGTAAGCAGCAAGAATGTTTAGTAAAGTAAGATCTACAAACACATCACCATCACCAAAACACAATTTTGTCATGAATCCATCTGTGTCCTTTGTTTAATATGCACATAGACCAAGGTGAGCGACACAGGCTCTTTAGAGCCTCTAGTTTAACATTGTTTGCAAAATTACATTAACATATTGTTGTATTGCATTTTATATGTTTTTGCTCATCTTTTATCTATAAATATGTACACTCTGCATACCTTACACAAATAAGTTACTTCAATATTGGTAATAGGTTGAATTCAACATCAAGTTTAAAGATTTAAATTCAAATAGTATGACATGGGAATGTAAAGATCAAAGGGGTTTGCTTTACATTGGCATGTCTACATGCCAAGCAGTTAAGGTAGAGGTCAACAGGGCTAATTTTTAAATTTTATCATGTTTAACCAGATTTTCGAAGGATATATCGGTTATTAAATTGGGGATGTACGGTGGGCGGACGGGCGGCTGCCAAACAGTGTCTCCACAATAACATGAAAACGCTTTAACAATTTTTTTTCAAATTTAAATATGTTGTTTCCTGGGACTTAATGAAGGTCTAGTTCAATTTTCAAGATTTTAGTATTTCTCCTTTTTGAGTTATCGCCATTTTTAATATCCAAAAGTGGATTTTTTTATTATTTTTCTCTTGTTATCATATTATGACTTCTTGGGGTTCTTTAATATGCTGAATCTAACCGTGTATTAAGTTTTTGGATTTTGGGCCCCATTTTTAAATTGGTCCACATTGAGGTCCAAAGGGTCCAAAATTTAACTTTGTTTGATTTCATCAAAAATTGAATTATTGGGGTTCTTTGATATGCCGAATCTAACCGTGTATTTAGAATCTTAATTTTTGGTTCCGTTTTCAAATTGGTCTACATTAAGGTCCAAAGGGTCCAAAATTAAACTTAGTTTGATTTTAACAAAAATTGAATTTTTAGGGTTCTTTGATATGCTGAATCTAAACATGTATTTAGATTTTTGATTATGGGCCCAGTTTTCAAGTTGATCCAAATCGGGGTCCAAAATTAAACTTTGTTTGATTTCAACAAAAATTGATTTTATGGGGTTCTTTGATATGCTGAATCTAACCATGTATTTAGATTTTTGATTTTTGGGCCCCGTTATCAACTTTGTCCACATTGAGGTCAAAAGGGTCCAAAATTAAAGTTTGTTTGATTTCATCAAAAATTGAATTCTTGGGGTTCTTTGATATGCTGAATCTAACCATGTATTTAGATTTTGGATATTGGACCATAATAGGTGAATGTCAAATTTAAAATTTTTAAGTTCTTGGATCACATTCATTCTGTGTCAGAAACCTATGCTGTGTCAAATATTTAATCACAATCCAAATTCAGAGCTGTATCAAGCTTGAATGTTGTGTCCATACTTGCCCCAACTGTTCAGGGTTCGACCTCTGCGGTCGTATCAAGCTGCGCCCTGCGGAGCATTTTATTATTCTTTTCTTTTAATTGCATCATTGCATTTATTTAGAGTAGACGTTTACAGGGGCGGATCCAGGATTTTGGAAAGGTGGGGCGTAGTATTAAAGTTCGGACCTTTTTTTGGCATAAAAACATAAAATAAGTGTAAAATGCATTTTATAGTTAAAGTGTAGGGGTTGGACATTTTTGGTGCGGTATTCTCTCCATTAATTGTCTATTATAAAATGATTGGATGGATCCAAAGCTATGTACTAATTAATATATATGATGTGGGATTTGTCAGTAAAAAATGGACATGGAAAATTCTCGTTTGTTGCATGGTTAGTTAGCATAACCTCACAGATTTCTTGTTGTAAACAAGATATACGGCTATTCAATGAAATTTACAATATGACCAACGCGAAGAAAGACAAATAAGCAATTTTCAACCAACAAGGGAAGTGAGGGGTTCCAAATCAACCAAAGGCTACGAATTAGTAGGAAATGAAAATGAAGTTGTGAATGACGGTCGACACATGGAGACATATAGGCCACACCCAGCAGGCAGGTTGCAGTCGGGCCTTGAAAAAGGTATTCAGTATATCAGTTCGGCGAAACATACACTCCGGTCAGATATGGGATTCACATGCAACCCCCCCAAAAAAAATTACGCCCGTTTTTTATTCATCATGTTCATTTAATGCTAAATAATTTTGTTGAAAATATTTTTTTCTAATAGCAAAAAAGTGGACAAGATTATTGTTTTCAATCCAGATATGGCCAGAATTTTGTTTAAGGCAAAAATCAGGGTCAGAATTTTTTCTCTAAAATATCTCAGACTGCCCCCTCAAATCAAATGGTCCGTACCTTAGACTTTAAATCTATATCTAGAGCTTACTGACTGGGGATCAGTATTCAGCAATTTTATTAATGGGTTGGGGCGTGTTGGGTTAAACATGTTTTTGTAGGTAAATAATATTGCTGTGGAACTTTTTTTTTCATGAGAGTGTAATAGAGTATTACTTTCTGTTGGGTGGAATTGTGAAATAGAAGTCAATACGTTCTTGCTCAATACTTTGTCGCTTTGAAGGTGTCATGCTTGTCATCCTCAGCCTAAGCAATGTGTTACTGTAATTTGAATTTCAAAATGACTGAGTGACGTTTTTTTTTCGATGTACTGGTCAACTCCACCGTAGCGAATCACATGACTCTGCAGGCCTCGACAATAACGCTTGTCCGATTGTCCGGTACCAGAGGAAAAAAAGGTCGGACAAGTAAAAGCTATATCAAGCTTGTCCGACGGGACAAGTAAAATTATTCTGCAGAAAATAAATTTAATCCAACTTTGATGAACAAAGTAATTATAAACAAAAAACAAGAAAAGAAGATAAAAACAAGTATTAATTTGACATGTTTACTTGCAAACCGATAACTTTAAACTGGTTCTTTGTCAGGTACTTTTTAATAGGTAAAAGGCATACTATTCTCGGAAACCAGTTTTACTGATCCGAATCAGCGATGCGCTTTGTAGAAAAGGTAACTTTACAAGACAGTTCGTCACCAGCTCGGAAACGATTCGGCTCCCATGTTTAATAGACAGTTTGGCACCGTAGGAGACATATTTAATAGACATGATTGATAGACAGTTTGGCAACGCAGGAGACATTTCGGGACCAAGACAAATCAGTACCTCGTTTTCCTACCTTATTCTGTTGCTTTATAATAAATACCATACCGGTTATTTTTTTAACAAAAATATTTTTTAAATAAAAATGAAGAAATTATTTACCATAAAATTCACAAAATCATAATTGATCATATGTAGAAAGAAACAATAATTGCAATACGGTGACCTATAGTTGTTAATTTCTGTGTCATTCGGTCTCTTGCAGAGAGTTGTCTCATTGGCAATCATACATCATCTTCTTTTTTTTATTGATTGCATTTGAATAATATTTTTTCAACTTAAACAACCAGGATACAAATCCAATGAGTGTACATTGACAAGCCTATCAGACGGTGCCTCATGTGCAGAGTCTGATGAGACTTTGGCATTGATGAAAACTAGAACCTAAGCCCTGTGACATGACTAGATTCAGTTGTTCTCGACTCATATTTTTGAAAAGTATTTCAAAAGATATAAATAAAATTCTGTTCTATTGTTTTAATTCATTTTTGTTCCTTGAATCAACTTAAAATGCAAACAAGGTTATTATTAAGATTTTTTTTGGACAAGTTACAATTTCATTCGGACAAGTAAGTTTTGGGTTGCACTTGTCCTACTGGACAAGTTGAAAAAAAAGTTATTGTAGAGGCCTGACTCTGACATAATCAATAATATATTACAGTAAATACAGCGAAAAATATCTTTATAAGTAAAGAATTGTGGCATAAAAATTAAATACATGGGAAATGGCAAAGTTCGCAAAGTCTAGTCTGATTAATCATTTTACAAAAAAAAAAAAAAAAAAAAGTGCAAGCAAAGGGGGATGGGGCGTACGCCCTCTAATCCCCCCTCTGGATCCACCGCTGATTTATCTCCTTATGGATACAGATCGACAGGGCTTGCTCCATCCATTTTTAGCTCACCTGGCCCAAAGGGCCAAGTGAGCTTTTCTCATCACTTGGCGTCCGTCGTCCGTCGTCGTCCGTTGTCGTTAACTTTTACAAAAATCTTCTCCTCTGAAACTACTGGGCCAAATTAAACAAAACTTGGCCACAATCATCATTGGGGTATCTAGTTTAAAAAATGTGTCTGGTGACCCGGCCAACCAACCAAAATGGCCGCAATGGCTAAAAATAGAACATAGGGGTAAAATGTAGATTTTGGCTTATATCTCTGAAACCAAAGCATTTAGAGCAAAACTGACAAGGGAAAAATTGTTTA